ATCGGTGTAAAGTCGGATGAAATTGTCCATTCCTTCAATATAATCCAATGTTTACGTACTCGCTAGTTTTAATACACACAGTTAACCTTGACCGGTAGCGACCTATTTTCTTACACGCAATGATAAGGCGTGCTAAGTATTATAAAAAGGGGATTTTCCGGATAGCAAAACGAATTTGAACTCATCTTTACAGAAACTTAATAGGTAAATACTTCACGCACGAAAATCACAGAAAACCGTTAAATATATTGTACTTTCATTCTTTGTAGTAATTTATAGTAATAATAATAATTTCTATTTCTTGAAATAGTAGTTTAGTTGTTATTTTATTTAGAAAACCTGGCTAATGTATTTCGAAAAGCTATTGAATAGAATAAATATCTACAGACTAAAGGTATTGTAAGAAAGATTGAGAACAATCTTTACACGTGCAAACACGAAGAAACTGTTACGAGAGTTATGCTTCACGTTGCAGATGCATTTAGGGATGGTTTTTAAAAGATCAGCATTAAAACTGTGGATACAGACGTAATTGTGATCGCTATATCTGTATTTAAGGACACAGAAGCTGATGAGATATGGATAACATTTGCAACCGGGAAACATTTCCGTTACATTCCTATTCATGATATTGCACAATCTTTGGGTTCTCTTAAATATAGGCTTTTACCAATATTCCACGCCTTTACAGGTTGCGACATTGTATCTTCATTTGCAGGACGAGGAAAGAAACAGCATGGGATACATGGAATACTTTCCCCGAGATATCAGCTGCTTTTAGACAGATGGCAGACCAACCAAGGACAATATGCCGTGATTCAATTCTACCATTGCTGGAGCGATATGTTGTTCTTTTGTACCATCGGATAAGTGAATCAAACAGTGTAAATGAAGCTAGAAAAGTGCTCTTTGTACATAAAGGTAGATCAATCGAGTCTGTACCACCAACACGAGAGGCACTTTTCCAACACGCAAAACGTTCTGTGTACCAAGCTGGATTGATTTGGATACAGTGTTTGCTTTTACAGCCTGTTCTTCCATCCCCAGACTTGTATGGTTGGAAAAAGCAAGACAACCGCATATAAGAACCCGTTCTAGACAATATTAGCAGAGGCAACCCCTTCACTACAGGAGCTTGTTCACTGTGGATGCAAGAAAGGTTGTCGAGGACAATGTAAGGGTTCCAAATCCGCCATTTTGAATACAGATTAAGGCAAGTGTGGTGGAGATTGTGCCTGATGGACTGCAGCGAGTATAGGGTTTACTGACACAAACAAGATGAATGAACGTATTATTGCATATAACAGCTACTGTATATATATTACTTTCAATTGTACTCATCTGATATAATTTTTTTGGTATATATTGCAACTTCCTTTTGACCTGTTTTGACATTTTTGTTATTTCGGCCGCCATCTTGGAAGAAACCGGAAGTTGATAGTTTTTCATATTGGTTTCATATCTTTATTTGTTAAGAAGGGTCTAAAGAGATAATATACAAAGTTTCATTGTTTTACCTTCTTGTGTACGGTTTCTTTGATATTTATTTAAATTTTTTGCAATTTTGTCCGCCATCTTGGAAAAAACCGGAAGTTGATTTTTTTCAGGCTGGCTCCATATCTTATTTTGCTTAGAATGGTGCTAGGAGCTTATATACCAAGTTTGATGCTTTTACCACATTTTGCAGAATGCTGATGAAAAATTGGACTTAGCTGCTAGACTATTATTATTATTAATTAACTACACTGTTATTGGACTTAATATGATGAAAACTGCCTATGCAATATAAAGGTGTCAACTTGGCCAATACAGAATAACTCGGCCAATATAGATTTTTTTCTGTATTGGCCGAGTTCTGATCCGGCCAATACAGGATTTCGGAACGTCTCTAGTTTTTAGATCGAAAGTCACGGTAAACACAAACTGAAAGTAAACAGTTGTTTGGAAGACGCAGTTTTCATTTACTCACCATAAACATGCTGAAACGTTCAGTATGGCATATATTTCAGGCTAAAGAAGGTCACATTCATTTAAAAAGCATTTTGAAAGCAGACGATGGAATTATTTCAGGTTTGGGGAACGAGTAGATACACCTTATCGCTATTCCCGCTTGACCCGAGAATCTGTCCCGCTCGAACTTTTGACGTCATACAACAATCACTTTTCCATTGTGGCGTCAGACATTTTCTATTATGACGTCAAAATTTTACGGGAACTTGTGTGATGTCCAGTAATGGCGGACAAATAGCGATAAGGTGTATTATCACAAAGTTCATTTCTTGTCGACCTCATAATTTCACGATGGTACAAATCGATTTACTGTTTACTTTCGCTTCTCATGTTTTGTAAACTGTCATTTATTTTTAAACCCGAACCAGGCATATGAATTCTGGAAGGGTGACCTGTAATTGTGCATATCTTTCGTTCTTTGGTCAGTTGGGTTATGGATAGTTGTATCATTTTCAACTCCTACATTATTTTTATTATCAAAATCTCAGTTTCTTTTTATAAGATGCAATATCTAATGATCTGGTGCCATTTCCAGGTGTCTTCAGCATTTTCTCATCTGATGAATTTTTCTACCCTTTCCAGTCATTATAAAGTGTTATAATTTAAATTTAGACACAACACATAAATAGTAATTGGAAAGGTACTGCCATTGCATGTGTTATGCAGAAACAAATTGATTGCAATGTGTTCTTGTAGTCCTGGTTGAATTGTTGTCCGGGAATGGATCTTGATGTTTTTCATCCATTTTCAATTACTGACCAGAAATAAACATGACTGCAATTTAATTCTATAAAGAAATAGAAAATAAAGATACATGTAGTGTGGAAAAAGATAATTTTCGACCGTAATAACAAGCTGAAATATGAAACATCTATGAAAAAAGTCAACAAGTTGTATTATCTATAATATTATAGTACACATGCTCCGTTAATATAATACGTACAGTTAGAAAATATGAAAGTGACAATTATACAGAAGTTAAGATAAAAAAATTATAATCTTATTACTCATGTGATAACATTTAATTATTACTGTAATCGTACAAATGATAAAATTAATCATAATTAATACTCTTTAACAATACAACTACTTGACTAACCGTTTATTTTATAACACTTTGTAAAACAACTAGATGCTTGAAAGAGTCTGTGTCTCTCACCTGCATCTTCAACAATGGCCATTTTTTGGTAAAAATCATCATGAAAGGGTCATAACTTTGTAAAGAGTTAACTGAGAATTTCAGTCATGTTGAAATATTTGGAGATCTTGTCTTGTTGATCATTTTTGCTATATAAAGTTTATATCTATCTATTATAGTTTCAAAATAATAGGCAAAAAAATGCAAAAAATTGGAAAAAAATCGTCATTAAAGAACAATAAATTCAATAGGGAGTCAACTGATGATTTCGGTAATGTTTGAATAATTTGTAGATCTTGACTTGTTGATCATTTTGGCTTTTTAATGTTTCTTTCTATCGATTATAGTTTTTAAGATATAAGGCAAAAATCGTCATTAAAGAGCAATAACTCCAATTAGGAGTCATTTGATGATTTCAGCAATGTTGACTTATTTGTAGATCTTGTCTTGTTTATCATTTTTCCTACTACAATTTCTCTGTATCTATCATAGTTTTCAAATAACAGAGAGAAAAAAATGAAAAAAAATAGATAAAATTTTACATTTAAGGGCTATAGAAGTCGTCTGACAGTTTTGACGTAAATGGACATGTATGTGCAAGTAGATCTCAACACTTTTAACATTTCTGACTCTGTCAGATTTTCTCTATTCATAGCAGTTTTCAAGATAATAGACAAAACTTGCATTTTACCCCTATGTTCTATTTTTAGCCATGTCAGCCTTCTTCGTTGATAAGTAGGGTCATCGGACAATATTTTTTATTTTATAACTAGATACCCCAATAATGATTGTGGCCAAGTTTTGTTAAATTTGACCCATTCGTTTAAGAGGAGAATATTTTTGTAAACGTTAACGGAAGACGACGATGGCCGACAGACGCCAAGCGATGAGAAAAGCTCACTTGACCATTCGGCCAGGTGAGCTAAAAAAAAGGAGGGGGAGGGAACCAAAGCTAAAAAAAAATAAATTATGCTGTCCATTAGCAAAAGTATAGAAAAAGTGGTTGCGAAGTGAATGGCTTTGTTGGACATTCATAACGATCAATACAAAGAAGTCTTATAAAAGCAAAAAATACATACAATGTTCTTTTACATACATGTTGGTGGATTGTAAACTATCTTTCTTAATTATGAATTATCAAAAGAGATCTCCCAAATGATCTTCCAAAAGATCTCTCTCTCTCTCACGTACTTATTTTTTCAATACAAAATACGTATGTTCGCAGTGTATCATAAGTGAACATATGATCATATAATGGAATGTACTTTTTCAAATTCTTAATATTTCCTTACAAAAAAATCTATTCAAACTCGTGCGGAGAAAGTTTATATATAGGCATTGCCAGTTAATCCGTTTCAACTAATTCGAACGTATTCAATTATAATGTGTACATTTGGTAAGGGTGTTTATTTCAAATAAATAGAGGATATGTTACCAGTTTTATACTGATCCGAAATGCTCTTATACAAACTACATAAATAATTACTAAACAAACTATATCCATAAAATAATATCAACGAACTAAAATCTGTTAGTTTCTATCAGGCACCAACCTGGTGTTTATGACACTACAATCTCTAATATTCACGTACCGTGACTACTGATCTTCGTCTTCGTAGACTTATTGACAAATGACGATGTGCAAGAAATCGCACCATACAAATATGACAGCCGTACCAATTCTTGAATGAGGGGTGCTCCCCTAAAGTTCCTCATTTTAAGTATAAGTGTTTCAGAATAACACCTTACATTTGACCTGGCCCAAGATTTTCTAATATTCTACGTTTTATCTGCGTATAATAAAGAAGTTTCTACCAAACTGCTATTCACTACTTAATCGATCAAAGATTAAAAATCATCAGAAAATTACTGAGAATTATTATTTTTACGTAAAGCTTAAACGAAACGATTTTTCTACATGTTTATTTACTAAAACATATTTATTTTCCAGATCAGTATAGTTTCATTTGACATGAGTAAAGTATAACTCAGCACGTAATAGGGTTTGAATTATGATGTCGAGACAAGCTGCTGGTTATGTCAAGTCATCAAAGACAAATAATGCAAGACTAGGACGAGCGATAGAATATCTTTTACCGCATTACTTTCAAGAAATAATAGTTCAAAAAATAAAAAGTGGGGCCTTACAAAATGCTGTTACAAACAATAAATATCTAAAAACTCATCTTAATCCTGATGAAAGTTTACAAATAACCACAGCAACAAAACATGGCTATGCAAACGCTTTTTTCGACATAACGCTTATTTACAAGATTGTCAGAAATCTTCAATTGGTACAAGCACCGACGAAAGGATGGGGTGGTGGGTATCCGGACGATAAGGACACAACAGTGGGAGATGATCTTGAACGAATCAGAGTTAAAAGAAACACAATCATACACGAAGTTCTGAGAAGAGATTCCTATGTAACAGACAAGGAATTAGGCCTGTATTTCACACTGTTTAAGGCAATGGCGAGCAGGTTAGAACGTGATCTAGGAGTCATTCCAGGAGATTTTGTACAGAAATTTGTAGAACTACAAGTATGCTCCATGGATGAAGAAATCATGAAATCGTATCTTGAAGCTGTTGAAACATCGAGGAAGAGGTTGCTGGATGAAATCAAAAACCCTTCACTAAGTAGTAAGTGACCTAAGTTTCACAGCAAAACTTATAATGAAATTCAAAAACAATTGCAAATAGATGAAAGAAATATAAAGGGATATCCTTCAACGAAACAGCAAACTTGCAAACCAATTTTAACTTAAAAAAATTCACAAAGTGCATTGACAACAATAAACACTAAATTTTTGAATTTCAATGTCCCTGTTATATTCACGGCTAAAAATTGTCATTTCCGGGCCTTTTATAGCTGACAATACGGGTTTGCTCATTGTTGAAGGCCGTACGGTGACCTATAGTTGTTAATTTCTTCATCATTTGGTCTCTTGTGGAGAGTTGTATCATTGGCAATCATACCACATCTTCTTTTTTTTATATTAACTCAAGCATTCTTTGATACAATGGTTGTATTATTGATTACTTGTTCATGTGTTTTTTCCCCTCTATCATGTATGGGGAATATGCGTTTTTTAAATGATTGTATTGTACATTATTTCTGTTATCTTTTCTTATTACACTAAAAGAGATAATGAAGAGGACAGACTACAAATAAGTGTTTATACATTATATCAAGTACTAAATCGTCCCTCGTTTATAAAAAGTTGTATGTAAATAAAAAAAAACTATTAAAATCTGCCATCACCATCAGTTTCTCCAAATAACATTTAGATTTTACATACGACAGATTACTATGTTTTAGATCTTAACCTTGTTCATTTTAAATTAAAATAAAAAACTATAAACTAAGGTATATAAAAACACAAAACAGTGGTGGTATGAGTGCCTATGAGACAACTCTCCACCAGAGACCAAATGACATAGAAGTTAACAACTATAGGGTCACCGTACATCCTTCAATAATGAGCAAAACCCATACCGCATAGTCAGCTATAAAAGGCCCCAAAATGACAAAAAGTAAAACAATTCAAACGAAAAATCCGGGTTAAACATGGTTGAAGGCACCAACCCTCCCCTAACCTGGGATAGTGGTGTAACGGCACAATACAAGAAACTTTGCAAAACAATAAACAAAAAACAAATATGAGAAACAGTAAAAAACGACAACCACTCAAGTAAATGCTCTTGACTTGGGACAGACAAATATATAATGTGGCGGGGTTAAATACGTTTTTTTCGCGCCAAACCCTCCCCCTTACCTGGGACAGTGTTGTAACAGTACAACATAAGAGCAAACTACAAAATCCAGTTGAAAAGGGCTTAACTTATCAGATCGATCAAAAGCAGAAAAACAACAACTAACAAAAAAAAAAAATGTGGTAGGGAATTTATACATCTCCAACCACAAAGAAGACACAAAGCACACATTTGAGAGATCTCGCAGTTACTGACATCTAGTTCAAAGCCAAAAACAACTAATAAAAAATCATATATCTAAGACTAAAATATCAATTAATAGTTGTGATAATCCAATAATTATTTCTACGTAGTTTTGATAAAAAAAAATGGTGTTGTTTCACTTCTATATAAAAAAAATGATCCATTATCATTAGATAACTATAGACCAATAACTTTATTGAATGTAGATACTAAGCTTATGGCCTATGCCTTAGCGCAACGGTTAAAGATGGCGTTGTCCAAAATTATTTATAGTGATCAGAATGGCTATATAAAAAATCCTTACATACGTTTTAACATTCGCCAGATTCAAGATATTATAGATTACTCAGACAAATTTAATATATATGGTGTTTTATTGCTCATCAACTTTTCCAAAGCCTTCGATTCTTTGGAATGGCCTTTCATGTATGAAGCCCTAAAATTTGGGTTACCACACTCCTTCTTAAAATGGGTTAAAACTTTATATAATGATACTAAAGGGTGCCTGTCGAATAGCGGCTGGATCTCTGAAACCTACAGTCTTCACAGTGGGATAAAACAAGGATGTCCGTTAAGTTCTCTAATTTTTGTTACAGCAGTTGAAATCCTGGCCTGTAGAGTAAGACAAGATTCTAACATTAAAGGTTTTCAAATTAAACTTGATGATAAAACGCATAGTCTAAAAATTTTCCAATTAGCTGACGACACAACTCTCTTTCTCAATTCAATAAACGAAATTGGCCTAGCATTGAATCTAATGGAAATATTCGGGACACTTTCTGGTTTAAAACTCAATAAATCTAAAACTGAAGGTATATGGTTGGGTAGACTCAAACATTGTAAAGAAACATTTAAGAATATACACTGGAACAAAGAACCAATAAAAGATTAGGTGTCTACTTTGGGTTAGATAAAGAAAAATGTGACAAATTAGAAATTTGATTGGGAAAAAAGAAATTTAACAATGATAGGTCGAATAACAGTTGTTAATAGATATAAGAAGATGTGGTATGAGTGCCAATGAGACAACTATCCATCCAAGTCACAATTTGTAAAAGTTAACCTTTATAGGTCAAAGTTAGGCCTTCAACACAGAGCCTTGGCTCACATCGAACAGCAAGCTATAAAGGGCCCAAAAAAATGACTAGTGTAAAACCATCCAAACAGGAAAACCAACGGTCTAATCTATATAAAAAATGAGAAACACTTATGAACCACATCAACAAACGACAACCACTGAACATCAGGTTCCTGACTTAGGACAGGTGCAAACACATGCAGCAGGTTTAAACGTTTTAAAAGGCGCCAACCTTCACCATATATCTGAAACAATAGTGTAACATCACAAGATAGAAAGACACACTATTAAATATCAATTGAAATGGCTTAACTCAATCAAAAGAAATATTAACAAAAACAAGTAAACACACACTGAACGAATAAATTTGATCTATGGCACAATGTAAATACAAAAATAATAAAACAAGGGAGTTAAATGTTTAACAAATCAGATAACAACCATAACCTTGGACAAAATGCCGCCAAATATAATAGCGTACACAGGTAAATAAGAATAATTTTGTTGTAAGGTATACATGGAGTATGGAAATAATTTTTACAAAATAAATAATTTTATTGTTCCTAGTACGAGAACAAAAGTGAAACTTTATCGACAAACTAAACACTTATCAAAGGTGGTATATATTAAAAATAGTGAAATTAGATATAACACTGAATAAGTAAACATTAGATAACAGAAATACATTACAAATTGTATCAACAGGTCAAATTAACACGAAAGTACGATAAGTCACTGTAAAGTTAAGTATGAATTTGGTGCATCCTAAGATTTAAGACTATATGTGACACTTATGATTCATGACTACAAAAACTAGGCATACACCATATTATACTATATTTGTAGATTCTCAGCAGATCATAGTACACAAGTGGGAAGAAGAAGACGTAAATTTTGTTAAAACAAATGCAGCAGATACAATTTTACAACTTTTTACAACTGACGCTTGTGTTTTAGTTAAAGGCGCACCAGGTGATGGGAAATCAACTACAATACGCCATGTTGCCTTAATTCTACATAATATGAACAAATATGAAATAGTCCCATGTAAAGGTCCGAATTGCATTGAAAAATATTACAAAAAGGACCGATATCAAGTTTTTGTTATAGATGATCTATGTGGGAAATATAATTTTGATCAGCTTAAAGCAGATGAATGGTCAAATTCTTTTATTAAAGAATTTATGACAAGGATTCTAGAACTTGGGAAAGCTAAATTTTTGACATCTGTTAGGTTGCAGATATGCGGAGAAGATAGGTTTAAGGTATTCAACTTCCTCAACTATAAATCTGTAGATTTGTCAGATAAAAAAATGGTTACACTTGAACAAAAGTATAAAATTCTTACAGAACATTTGACTGGGGACGCTGCAAAAATGCTAGAGAAATATGAAGACAGAATTTCAGATATAAGTTTGTCACCTCTATTAGTATCCCTAATATATGATGGCATGGACATTGCATTATTTTTACAAAATCCGCTGGATTTTTATTGGAATGAATTTGACAAATTACAAGTAGAGCAATTATGCGCTTTGTTTTTGTTCACTGTGTATAATGGTCATATAGAATCAAAATTCACAAAAAGCGAAAACAAACAAACTATTTCAACAATTGCAAAGGCTTTTATTGAACGATCTAATCCAATTCAATCAGACGTCACTAATCTAATTTCCAAACACTTAAATTTACTTTCAGGCAAATTTTTGGTTAACAAAGATGGCGTTTTTACTCCCAAACATAATGAACTATTTGACATTATCTGTTACTATTTTGGCACAAAGGAACAAGACATATTCATACAGTATGCACACGCGCAAGTCATAGGTCAGAGAACTGTATTTGAATCTTTCAACTTAAAAAACCTAATACAATTCACCATTCTTATAAAGAAAGAAAATGAGGAAATGTATTTCTTAAGAATGGTTAAAAACATATGTTATGGGAAGATCTGGGATGCCTTCAACAACTTTCAGCTATTATACATACTTCAATTCAAGTTAAGATTTGTTACCTATTTGGAAAGACTCAGTGATACTGAGAAAGATAAAATGGTTGAAATAAGGGAAAGATCAGATGGGACAAGCATATCAATGCCAGTTTCTCTTTTATATGTAGCTTCCTATTTTGGTTCCTTGCATCTAGTGAAGTTCGTTTTGAAACATTCCAATGTGCAACTTAAAGACGACCAAGACGAATATCCACCATTGATTGCATCCTGTGAGAGAGGTCATGAAGAAGTTGTCAAATTGTTAATTGACAAGGAAGCCAATGCTAATCAATCCGGTCATTTAGGGACAACCCCAACTATTGCAGCAATTCAGAATAATCATATGAATCTTGTTAAAATTTTGATCGATAACGGTGCAGACATTAACAAAGACGACCATAATGGAATGACACCTTTTTTGTGGGCATGTGTGTTACAAAGAGAAGATATAGTAAACTTTTTAATTGACAAAGAAGCCAACATTAATGAAACAAGCAGAGATGGATCAAGTTCTTTGTTCTGGTGTTGTGTTATGGGTTATCAGGAGCTAGTTTGTTTACTTCAAGACAAGGGAGAAATAGGATCAATTTCAAAGCCAAATAAAGATGGTAAAACACCTTTAATGGCAGCTTGCTATTTTAGACGATTTAACATTGTACATTATCTTCTAAAACATTTGACTTCATATGACGAAGTTGATAAAAATGGCTGGACCGCCTTAATGGAAGCTTGCTTTAATAATGACAATGGTAGCTGGAATAGGTTCTTGAAACAGTTTGATAAGCAAAAAAGTATAAGGATTCCACTGTTTAGGCTTTTATCGAAAAAAGGTGACATGATTGATGCTTACTACAAAATAATTGAAAAACTTGTCGAAAGAACAAATTTAAATCTACAGGATACTGACGGTAAATCGGCACTGCATCATGCATGTGAAGGTCAGTATAACCATATAGTTCATATCTTGACTGAAAAAGGAGCATCCGTAAATTTAGTGGACAAAAGAAAATCAACACCCCTTATGGGAGCCTGCTTTAGTGAAGACAATGAAACAGTACGCCCTATTATGGAGGATTACAGCAATGGGTGCAAACCAATGATTGAGCAGTTGCTCCTGAATGCTGCTGATGTAAATGCTGTTGATAAACGTGGATGGAATCCTTTCTTTGATGGGTGTCAAAAAGGAAACTTTACAATAGTAAAACGGCTGATTAGATTTGTTGCTGATGTCAATAAACGGTACAGAAATGGAAAAACGCCGATTGAAATGGCCCGTGAGTGTGGAAATCACGATATCATCGACTTATTGATTCAGGAAGGTGCTAATCCAGGTGTTAATGCGAATGAAGAGGCTGACTGTGTACCAGAAATGGGTCATTCGTATCATATGCATGATTTTTCTGACACTTCTTCAGACGGATCAAACCCTGATGAGGATAGCTCTGTGCAAAACTTCAAACATCATATTAGTGACCGCAAAAAAGGTGAAAAATTACTAAATGCATGCATAGATGAAAATGAAGATGAGGTTAAAGATATGTTAGAATCCGCACTTGAATATCATGTTCTAGATTTTTCAAATAGATATGGTAAAACACCATTGTTAGAAGCTTGCAGGGTAAAGAATGTAACAATTGTCAATCTTTTGTTAGAAGCAGGTGCTAATGTAAATAAAGATGATGCTAAATTTTGGGCTCCTCTTCATGAGGCATGCAAAGTAGGAGAAAAAGATATAGTAAATCTACTATTGGAGAAGAATGTCAATATAAATGCTTGCGATGACCGCGGTTATTCGCCTCTTCTAATAGCCAGTCAAAATGGTTACAAATCTATCGTTGAACTCCTAGTAAATTATCGCGCACATGTCAATATTTCCAGTAATGTAAGAATAACACCTCTTCTAGCGGCATGCACCAAAGGCCAAATTGAAATAACCAAACTTCTTATTGTTAAACGAGCCGATATTAATAAAGCTGATGGTTACGGCAATACCCCATTAATGGTAGCTAGCTATTATGGACACGGTTCAATTGTTGACCAGCTTTTGGCGAAAGGTTGTGAAATTGATCAGAAAGATATGAAAGGATGGACAGCTCTTTCATGGGCATCAAAAGGATCATCAAAAGGATGTTGTAAATGTATTATTGATGCGTCAGTAAAGAGAAAGTATAAGGATTTAGTAAGGAAGCCAAGTGACGAAAAAATTTAACTTCTTAGAAGTTAGACGGTGGCTATATGTAGTTATGTATGAGTTGTTTTTTTTTCATTTTTCGTTGCTTTTTTGTTAAATAGATCTATTTAAGTACATACGTTTGTAATTATACGGTGATTTGCATGTTACCAGTTTATGGGAACCAGCAAAGATTATCAAAAGTAATATATGAAATGCTTAAAAAGTCAAATATTCCCGTATTTATTTGTTTTAATGAAGATTTAAGGAAAATACCTCACAATTGATTTTGATTTTTTTTTCCTAAAATATATTATCTTAAAAGACTGCCCATAAAGACCTAATATTGAGATTAATTCAATAAATGTATTTAAATAAATTTTCTCTCACAATTAAACAATTTGATGATGTTTGTTTTTATCCATTGATTCAGTTTATCTTAAACTTAATTTAAAATACTTTGACGTCCCCTGGTTCAGGCAAATCATCCCCAAAAGCCGAAAGACGTCAGAACAATCAAAGAATACAAATGTAATTAGAGTCTATCGAATTCGAAAAATCATCGGCTTCCTAAGGTAGGAAGGAGTTCATTCAAGAACCCTGCTTTATAAAAAAAAGGAGATGTGGTATGATTGCCAATGAGACAACTATCCACCAAAGTGCAATCAAATGAAGTGAAGGTCATTAAAATCCAAAACGCCAATACAGACAAGGGCATAGCGAACGAGTTGTGATATATTAACACTGTAAGGCGGCGCCAAAGGAACAGCACCGTCCAAAAAAGGAAAATCAACAATAGGGAAAGAAAAACCATCCCTTTTATCGTAAATTTCTCTGTAGAGTTTCTGTTATAACACTGGAATATCTTAATCTAAGAAAGGACAGTAATTGCTGTTAATATTTGATTTATTTAAAGTAAGTTCATTTGGGTAAATTTCAGCAGTATATTTAGAGATTTCTTGATTTTTTAACGAAAAAATATCATCAAGATAACCGTTAAGTGTTGTTGATTTATCAATTAAATGGAATTAAGACTCTTTACTGAGTTTGGCCATAAACTGTGATTCATAACAGTATATGAACAAGTCTGCTGTTAAAGGGGCACAATTGGTCCCCTTAGGGATACCTACAACCTGTCGGTAAACTGTATTGCCGAAACGTTCATAAATGTTGTCAAGGAGAAAATATAGTGTTTTAATCATCTCATCACACCTCCAGTAAGTATATGTAGCATAGTTACCTTTTTCATTTGAGAAAAAGCATAAGTTAAACCGCTACCAACGTATGCATATTAAAGTGAAAAGTGAGTATGCAAGTTTAGATGACATTTTCTGGAATAAAAGGCTTTATATGAGTTGCAGCAAATAAATTTGCAATCAGATTTATCAAATGACACATTTGATTAAATAGGAAAACTTTTGTTTGATAAGATTGTGTGGAAGTGTAGTATAAAGAGTGGAAAAGTCAAAACTGTCAACCGAATCAAAAGGACCATCAAATGCACGTAATTTAACTTAATCATCAAAAGAATGTTTTGCACTCCATAAATGATTAATTCCACTATTTTTGTATGTTTTATTACAAACAATAATGATAAGTTCTTTGATAGTAGTTAAGGCACTCGTTAAAAGCACCAAAAAATTAGTATTAGAACACTTAGTAGAGGCCGAGATGAAACGATATTTTACGGTTTTTAAAGAAGTGCCGTAATGCCTTTAATGGTATCAGGTAATAGCCATTTCGTTTCTACGTGGGGGGTATATACGTCATCATAATAATCCCGAAAAGTGGAATTCTTTCTTCTATAAGTGATATGGGGTGTTCTTTTTTTTATTGTAATTCATTGACACTGGACAGTAAAGAATTGAACGGTGTTTTTTGTTAGTTTTCAAAAATTTCGATAGAGTTGCATTTTTCATTATGAGCAGTCAACCGATTGACATACCGGAGTTACTTAAAAATCCGTGTGATAGAGTTCTGGTTTATTACGAGTAGTATTTTAATCTTGAGTTGTTTTTAAGATCGTTTTAGTCGTTGGTACAATAATGAAAAGTCGACTGAACTATGCCTAGTCGCCACATGTCAATAATAACTCAGGTTTCTCGGGAATACGATTATTTTTCTTTTTCTCATCAGAACATTTGGTACGTCGAATTGCTGAAATCGCCTAAACTATCAACAATATCCATCTGGAATTTATCGAAAACCAGAGCTGTTGAAAAATTCAATTTGTCTGACTGTTCGACATAGCTATCATCATGTCAGACCCTTTGGCAGGTAAACAATTTTGATTTATTAGGTCTGATAAAAGTTGACATCCGGGAAACAGCGAAAAATTCGATATACAATGTACTAGGGTTTTTACCTCTATAAAATAGAAGATGTTAAAACCCGAGTGTATCGAACGTATAAGGTTTAACTGACATTACGCAACTTGTGTTTGATTTTTACCCTGGCCCAATGATGATAAACAAGTGATAATAATTTGAAAGAACAATTAACAGATGGTCGAATATTAATTATTTGACATGGCTTCTGTTTATGGCACATGTCAAAGTAAATACCGGCATTGATAGAAAAAAAGGAATGTGGTCAAAAAATTCTGTCAAAACATCGATTGGAAGGTTTACTTCAACTCAGCAAAGAAATGCTCATTATTTCACACTCCAATGCGGACATTAAAGGACCTTCGGCATGCTCAAGAAGTCCCGAACTGACAGCAGGGTCAACAATGATCCTAAGACAATTCACGGCCTCATCAGTGAGTGTTTAGATTAACAACTACACAAACTGTTGCAAGGATCAGGATTACCGCAGCACAGAGTCGAGTGTATTAAAGGCAGGCAAGTTGGCTTGTGTTTCACGAATAATTAAGTCTCCCAAACGAAGTTTGGGAAGACTTGTTGTTTTTGCTCAGTTATTATTATTATTATTATTATTCTTCCTCTTCCTCTTCCGCCGCTTTTAAATTTGAACTTGTCCGCACCCGTTCTCCAAAACCGCTTGTCAGATTATCTTAGGGTTTCACAATATGTTAGACTAACATGTCTAGTGGTGCAATCAGGGTTTTGTTTGTGCAATGGGGTTTATAAAGGGGTACTTTGAGGGGCAAAAACAAAAGAGGGTTTTACTATAGAACAATATGGGATTTTATTTTTTTAAATTTTCAAATGATTATAAATTGAAAACCGTTTGTGATAGACACAATCTTTTTAATTGAAAATGTTCTAAATGATAAAACCCATTAAATGAAATACGGGGTTAGTCCCCAGGGGTCACCCCCACCCCCTGCCATTTAAGAAAGTTCTAATACCTTGTAAGTGGTCAAGATCCCCACCCCTAAACCATATATATTCTGGTTTGTCATGCTAAGATGGTTTGAATTATATACAGGGTTAGTCCCCAGGGGTCATCCCGACCCCCTGCCATTTGAGAAAGTTCTAATATCTTGTAAATGGTCGAGATCCCCACCCCTAAACCATATATATTCTGGTTTGTCATGCTAAGATGGTTTGAATGATATTCAGGGTTAGTCCCCAGGGGTCATCCCGACCCCCTGCCATTTGAGAAAGTTCTAATATCTTGTAAATGGTCGAGATCCCCACCCCTAAACCATATATATTCTGGTTTGTCATGCTAAGATGATTTGAATGATATACAGGGTTAGTCCCCAGGGGTCATTCCGACCACCTGCCATTTGAGAAAGTTCTTATATCTTGTAAATGGTCGAGATCCCCACCCCTAAACCATATATATTCTGGTTTGTCATGATAAAGCACATGAAATGAAATACAGGGTTAGTCCCCAGGGGTCACCCCCACCCCATGCCATTTAAGAAAGTTCTAATATCTTTGTAAGTGGTTAAGATCCCACCCCTAAACCATATATATTCTGGTTTGTCATGCTAAGATGGTTTGAATGATATACAGGGTTAGTCCCCAGGTGTCATCCCGACCCCCTGCCATTTGAGAAAGTTCTAATATCTTGTAAATGGTCGAGATCCCCACCCCTAAACCATATATATTCTGGTTTGTCATGATAAAGCAAATCAAATGAAATACAGGGTTAGTCCCCAGGGGTCACCCCCACCCTATGCCATTTAAGAAAGTTCTAATATCTTGTAAGTGGTCAAGATCCCCACCCCTAAACCATATATGTTCTTGTTTGTCATGCTAAGATGGTTTGAATGATATACAGGGTTAGTCCCCAGTGGTCATCCCGACCCCCTGCCATTTGAGAAAGTTCTAATATCTTGTAAATGGTCGAGATCCCCACCCCTAAACCATATATATTCTGGTTTGTCATGCTAAGATGGTTTGAATGATATACAGGGTTAGTCCCCAGGGGTCATCCTGACCCCCTGCCATTTGAGAAAGTTCTAATATCTTGTAAATGGTCGAGATCCCCACCCCTAAACCATATATATTCTGGTTTGTCATGCCAAGATGATTTGAATGATATACAGGGTTAGTCCCCAGGCACCACTAATGCATATAACTTTACTGGACCAAACCAATTTTCACTGGACTTTGCTCAATGTCAGGCGACCATGGGAATTACGAATTATGGGAGCTTCGTTTGGGAGACTTCGTAACAGCATCCTGTTACAATCATTTCTTGTTAATGTTGTTTTACCACTTCCTGACTATAGAATCGTTTAAACGACAGACACAACACAAACCACTGCAGCAAGCTTGTATGCCAAACTGGGTCAAGTTTTACAAATATGAAGTATATATATGCATGTTGACTTAGGGCAGTACGTTAACTATACAATTCATTTATCATATTCTCTTCCTTTAGAATCGCTGACATGGCAGACAATGTTCCTCTAACACAAACACAGGCGCGTATACCCATCTCTGTCGTGAAATTTGGTCTCTGTTTTAACTCTCTTCCAGGCATTAGTAAATATTTCTGAAGTCATGCTCAAGCCTTGTATATAATTTAACTGAAATTGTGTAATTTTAATTAAGCCATCAAAATTACATCACTGTAATTTGGCTTGAACATTGAAGTTGGTGTTTATATATTCCTACATTGTAAGTAAACCTATTTTAGTCTTAGAATAAGATACATGATTTTTTATTATTAGTTGTTATTGGCTTTGAACTAGCTGTCAGTAATTGCGAGTAGTACTACTCTTAGATCTGTACTTTGTGTCTGTTTTGTTGTTAGGGATGTATAAATACCCTGCCACGTCCGCTTTGTGTATTTGTTAGATGTTTTTCTGCTTTCAAATTGTATTGATCTGATGAGTTAAGCCCTTTTCAACTGATTTTAATAGTTTGTAATTACGTTGTGCTGTAACACCACTGTCTCATGTTAAGGGGAGGGTTGAGCGCTTACAAACATGTTTAACCCCGCCACATTCTTGTATGTGCCTGTCCCTAGTCAGGAGCCTGTAGTTCA